TGGGGGGGAGGGGGGGGGCTTTTATAAATCGTCTAAAGCAGCGTTGCGTCTTATCCCTTGTCGTCTGCCGTAATGTTTTCAACTTCAGATATCAGATTGCAGGTGATGTATCAGTATGTAATAGGCGTGAATTACTCTCGTGCGAAAAGGTTGGGCGACTTTGGAGGTATCCTCTGATCCTTCAAGAAACACTTAAGATTGTGGTTGCATGCATACGAGAGTGAGCATAATATGTTGTGCATGAAAAGTGAGACTGAGGGAGAGAGAGAGAGAGATAGAGAGAGAGAAAGAAAGAAAGAGAGGGAGAAATAGAGAGAAAGAGGGAGGTATATGGAGACAGCGTAAGAGAATGATTGTAATGTACGAGGTTTAGAGAGAAAGATAGTTACAGAGAGAAAAAAAAGGCAGAGATACAGAGAGAGAAAAACAAAGAGAGAGAGAGAGAGAGAGAGAGAGAGAGAGAGAGAGAGAGAGAGAGAGAGAGAGAGAGAGATCAGAGAGAGAAGATTTATACTGTACTTGCATACTGTCACTATCTATTTACTTTTTATGTTGTTTGTGTACTCATTAGCCTAATTACTTGCTACAGGTATGGGTAAATCGGCATTTGGATTTTTTTTTAAAGAATCCCCCACCTCCGGTCGTTATATTACCTTAGGGGTAATGACTATAAAAAGAGTTTGTTTTGTCATTGCTATCCATCATCATCATCATCATCATCATCATCATCATCATCATCATCATCATCATCATCATCATCATCATCATTGTCGTCGTCGTCATCATCAACACCTTAGGGGGTTGGGGTGTTGGAAGGGAAGGGGGTGTTAACTAATTGAATTCTCTGAGCTAGTTTAGTATACGACTAACGTGTGGGAGGAAGAGATTCGCATCAGCAGACTTGTATACCTATATTATTGTGTCGAGTGTTCTGAAAAAGGAACCGTGTATCTAAGGGAAAACCTGTTCGGTACTGCAAATGTGGCAGCAGACTGATATACTCAAAGCAATACCATTAGAACAAGAACATCAATATGATTTTTATTAGTTTATTTATTTTACTTTGTCTTTTCTCTTCTCTCTTCTTTTCTTAAATATATATTTTTGTAAATATATATATATTTTTTTATTTTATTTTTTTTTTATTTTTTTTTGGGGGGGGTCTGTTTGTCTGAGAAAAGAGAAGCACTTTGACACGTAAAGGTCGTTTAGTGCAGGGAAAAACATAAGACAGACACGACAGAAGTGAAGAAAAGAATTCGGACCTACCAAAGGTGCCATCCAATCACTAGTCCCGTAATATTGTTATAGACGTTTTAACTTAAAACGAGACAATTGCGACAAAGCAGGTATTTGGAGGGTGCCACATGGAAATCCTCTTTTCTCTCTTTCAGTCGATCGATTTTATTTATATAATCTGTCCTACGTTAATTTTCTATACAGGAAATGACATAATTTATTGTTTCGATTTGGTTATATTTACTCAAAGTCAATTTTAAACTTTAGAAATACATCAGCTAGTACCAAATTCCAGTCAATCTGCTTATCTTTCCAAATGTCGCTTAATAACATCCAGTTTTGCTGTGCCTGTGCGTTAATATGAATTGATTTTCGCTTGAGCGGACTCTCTTTTAAACTGGAATCAATCCATAAAATAGACACATGCAAAGCTTCCAGCATTGTGCCCGTCTCGCATTTCCAATTCGACATGTTATAGTTATGATTCTCCACTTACCTTTTTACCTCGCGTGACTCCTGGGGTCACCGTGCCGGGTGGTAGAAACAGAAGAGAGCACTTGTCCGAAAACAAAAATCAAATGCCTCAAAGGGAAATAATAATGTGTATTGAGAAATCCGTTTACTTAACGTCGACCTCTTTTGCCTCGTGATTGACGGGTGGTACTGAGGTCTAGTATTATCTCCTACGATTATAATTATTGTTTCATGAAAAGACCTGATAATAAACCTCATTCAGACAGTTGGGATCCATCATAAATGCTAAAATATCAATATGATTCCTGCTCAGGCTTTTTGAAAACCTCTCTTTTTAGGAGTGAGGAAGGGGAGGGGAATGGTAGAGGGTAGGGGTTAGAGGAGGGGTGGGGCGGGAGGGGAGGCGGTTGCTTGAAGAAGGGGTTGTTGGGTGTTTTTTTAGGGTCGGAGTTGAAGGTTCCCTTATTTGGTATGCCCTGTTGACACCTTTTATTGTGCACTGTTTTTGTATCTTGTACTCATGTATTGGGTTTTTCTGTACTTTGAACCTTGTGTGGAGGTTGGACGAAATCGTTTTATTCATATTGTTTGTTTTGTTTGGCTTCTTTTGATGTTTTGTTTGTTTGTTTTGCGGTTTTTGGTGTGTTTTTCGGTCGGGGAGCTTTTTTCTGGATTTTTTTGGCGGAAAGAGGGGGG